TGAATACCCTACAAATGTCTACCGTGAATGATCCGGACGACATACGTCTATCAAACGATTTAAGAAATGTAAGGAACGTCACTAGAATGAATAAATCGACAGGCGAATATAGTAATCACGGCAGTGGCGGTGGTGGTAGTAGTGAGACGGTCAAAAATCAAATTGCGACGATAATACATGGATCGGTGGAAAATATAATCGGCATTTTCCTCGCCAAAGAAAAACAGAAGAATGTAACAGAGAAGACATCAGTTTTTTCTTCCGCCAATATTATTATTTAAGCAATAGGACATGTCATATGCATGTACCTATTCATCATTACTAATTGTACATAAATGTATAAATGTTTTTCCCTTCACTGAGCAATATATTATCGTATATTATACAATGTTATCTAGTTATGATTTTAAAACGAAATAGCGCGCTATAATAATCATGTATTTTACATGTATAGTTTCATTGTTTAGTGTTTTACGTAACGTTTAAAACCTTACTGTTAGTTGCAGTCAGTGCCTTACAGACATTACTATCAATAGGTTTATGGGAGCAGGAGTGCAGTACATTTTCCAAAGCTCTTTATTCAAAACATTTAACATCAACATAAATAGAGTAAATTTTTAATAACAAATGAAAAAACTAAGAAACTGAGCGTATGAACTGGATGGTTGATTACGTCTGAAGTGTTGGTGTTGAAACGGAGCCTTTATATACTATATGCTACTGAATCGTTTCCTTTGATGGTTTTCTTATCAAGCAGTTTTTTGCAACTTGCGTGTTCCACTTTTACTATGATTTTGTCGTTGACTATAATTTATATGTATATTTGCACGTGGCTTTCTTCCTGTTACTATTATTTGATTGTTTCATAATTTGGTCATGATCACTTTTAAGTTTTACATAGTAATTGTTATGAATATAACAATTATATCTATAAAACATAGGTGTGCGCAGATTCCTGTTTCCGGTGTGGCTTTTATTTTTTTTTTTGATCACCCACCCCCTTTAACCTATTTATGAGGGACCTATTTTTGAAAGTTGTTTAGTACTAGTGTTTTATTTCCATGTGTACTTTCGATAACTTTAGCCATAGAATTATAGAATTATAGAATTCATAGAATTATAAATTTTAAAATTTACGTTTTATTTTAAGACATACGCAGTTGTAATGCACTATTTAAACTGTGCCATCTTTTTACTTGTTTATAAAGTATTTGATTATTTAGATATTATAATGGTTAATGGACATAAAAGTACATGCATAAGTACGATAACGGCTTAACATACAATTATATACAATAAATGTACAATATACATTGATTATATTGTGTGTATATTTATATATATTTTACATCAATCCGAAAAACTCATGAAAAGTATAGGTATTTTATCTTATTTGGTGAAAACGTGTTACGCCCTTCGAAATACATGGAAGTCATCACAATGTTTAAGCTTACAGAATATGAATATAATGTACTTAAAATGGAAGAATACGGTAAAAATAATTTATTATAATTTACCGGAAACAATATAAAACGACCAAAAATTATGCAATTTTTTTTTGTTTGTTCGTATTTCCAATAACTGTCATTTAAATATACCACGCTATTAGGAATACTAAGTATACTAGGAATACTGGTACTAGAAATCAGAGCGAAAAATAATTATTTATTACAAAAAACTACCAACCCTCAAAACGTTTGTAATTTGATTATTTTTCGCGTCGGTTCCGCGATAAATAATTGAAGAATTTGCAAATAAATGTTTTTGTTAGTTGAACAAAAAAATGGTAGTCGAAACAAACACATTTATTAAAATTAAATATCTAAATATCGAATTTAAATACTTACGAAAATATCCAGATAAGAATATTTCAAATTGAATATGCGGTTTCTTCTTTTCCTAGTGCCATTAGTCGAATATGTTCGACTTTAGATTTTTAACTCTGTTCAAATATTTATGGCATAACAGTTTCCCTTTTCGGATGTTATGTTGTGTGTTATCCGTTGAATAATTCATACATCCTGAAGATCAATGAACAATGGGCATAAGTAGGTAAGTACCTACCTGTGTTATAAGAGTTTGCTACGTTGACGAAGATTTCCGTATTCCCGTTGTATTATATTATAATTATAGACAAATGAACAATGCTTGTCATAAAATTATATTGTTAATTATATTATTACGTGTATTAAACGTATGCGTTTTTTTGGCTTGCTCGCTATTTATTAAATATTGATATAGTTTAAGCAATTCCCTTTACGCTCAACTATTTTGTACAAATTATCAAACTCTCGACAGATCATTATAAGAATATATTTAATAATCTATCAAAGTAACTTTGATAGTACAAAAAAAAAGTATTGGGTAACTACTAAAGTTGATGATAAAATGCCAACTATAGTTTAGTTTATCAATTTATAACAATATATAAATTTAAAAACCAAAGGAACTTACTTATCTAAAAATATATGAATAATGTGGTTTTATGACCTAATCTAACCCCCCCCTAAGCTTAATAACTTTAGAATAAATAAATAGTAATTAGACAGTATTTTTAGGACAGTAAATGTACCTGACACATCATTTTATTTAATTTTTTTTTTTGGAAAAACTTTCAACCAGTTGCACTAAATTTATGAATTTGCCAGATCCAATCTACATAATATGTACCTACATTTAATGATTTTATCTATCGATCTTTGTAAAAAAAAAAACAAGTTTAAGATTACAATACACTACACAAGTAGATTAATTTTAATTACAAATATCTTAAATAACATTAATATTATCTGTTTTAGTATGGAAAAATATTAAGTTTCTTTAACAATAGGTAATCGTTAACTTTTTTACAAATATTTCGATATCGATAATCGAATATACTTTTCACTTTTGTATATTTTAATATAACAAATTTGATCATATTGTCAATCCATGGTTTTTATTTATTTTGGGATCCAATTAAAAATAACGCATTATAATGAAAAAATAATAAATTTAACCAGTGACACAAAAAAGTATTTTGTAGTGCTTGTACTGAAGTCAGTTATCGTTAATGAGCGCAACAGAAGTTTTATTTGTTGAGGGGTTAATTTTTTATTTTTTGTATCACTTTGATAAATTACATACTTTTAAAATTGTATTTGTACCTATTATGTGGAGCATTGATTTAATATTGGGGAATTAAGCCCAACCCCCCCTAGAACTATCTTTGAATCAAATGGTTATTGAGGTTTTATTATTAAGTAATGTAATAATATCATTTAATTCTTTGTAATTGTTAGATTTTTTATTATTAATATATTAATTAATAATTATGAAAATAGCTTATTATAACTTGTGTTTGGATTGATATTCAGATATATCAATAAATCAGAATTTCAATACCAATGTACCGATACAAATTATTTTTTTAGAAATCACCGATATTCAAAAAAAATATTGTTGGAGAAACCTACCAAATGTATACTGAACAAAACATTGAAATTAGATAATATCAAATTAAAAAATAAAACAGTCGAATTTACATACTTCACATTTGCATGAATCAATGTGATAGTTCCTATTTTAATAAAAATAGTGAAAATAATAATTTTTGAGTGGTAACACTTTTTTTTAATGACTCTGGTAATATATTGTTTAAAACAATATTAATTGAAAGAAAGAAAATATAAGATAGTTTTTTAAAAACCTAATTCCTTTCATTCGTAAGTACTTATAGACTATGGCATTCTCAGTATATTATTTATAGTAATACTACACAAAGAATGTGTTTAAGCAAAACCAAAATGAAAATATAACATAGTTATTGATTAATTGATATACATTTTTGTAAAAATGTATTTTTAATGGTAAAATGTATGTATTTTAAACTTTTTAAAATTAAATTTTATTTTACTCAGAAGAATTCTTCAATTTTAAACTTCAATCATTAAATCAACTAAATAATAAATAACAATTAACATAATATTTAGATAAAATACTAATATATATATTATAAAATATAATTTATAAAAATATTAAATGTTAACAGCAGTTACAAAAATGTTAGCTTATTGGACGACAATTGAGATTTAAGCTCTTAAAAAATAATACTGAATTTTTCTTTTAAGTCAAATACACCAATTATGAATTACGTGTACATAATCTAACATGATTACAATATGATTTTCACAATTGAACAAGCAAATAAAAGTAATATATAAAATTTAACAAGAATAATTTAGTACAATGTGTTAATTGTAAATTCGTAATTAATCAAAAATATATAAATTCTACTTTATAATTTACACTCATCCATGAGTTATAAATACAACTATTCTTAATTTAAACTTATCACAATGTGGACGGAATAGTTAAATTAATAATAAAAAAAACTTATTTTTAAGCTCAATATAGATATAAATAAACATTAGTTTAAAATGTTGAGTAGTTCTAAAAGTGAATATAAAAAAAATGCTCTTTGATTTTACTAGTGATTTAAATAAAAAGTTATATTTTAAATGATTTTTTTATAATTAAAATTATAAAGTAACATTATGTAATTTCCTAGAATACAGCAAACAAACTCTATACACATAAAATGCTGTTGTGTTTTATTCAAATTAGTGACATGCATATTTCAGATCCAAAAATTGTTATTATTTATTAAAGCAAGTGCATTTAAACTAAAATAAATTGTGTAAAATTCTCTATGAGAAAATACAGTTTACTAGTATAACAAAATTGACATACTTAAAATATATTGTGTTCATTAATCAGTCCTGTTATTATTATTTAAAATATTGTTAATTATATGTTAATAATAATTTTAATATTCACATTAAATTTGATTACACTGAGTCTAATTTGACAGATAATACTTTGCTGTATAAACTTAAAAATAATAAAATTTCAACCCATATTAATTATTAATTATTTAAAATTATAATCAAGCATATGATACTTGTTCAACATATTCATCATTATAATGATTATAATTGTCTGGGTCTCTGTGTACTGGACAGAACCGTTCACCATAGCGAACTATGGCAACGATAACGAACAACACAAACATTGCCAGCAACAAAATCAACGGTGCAAACACATGAAACATGGCGGTTCAGATATCACTTTCTTTTTTGTGGAGCTCAACAAATTCTTGAGGCACACCTGAGTCGTACACAGGTTTTGATTTCGAAAAGTTAGTCTCCAACTCTTTAAGGTCCAACGGAGCTTGCTTGGCCGGTGTCTTTATCCAAATGGGCAGTATATAACGGTTGCCTGCGGGGAAAAAACAAACGAATAAACAAACAAATACAACAAGCGTCTGCATGGTCATCGCTTACCCGTTTCACTGTTGCGCCAGTAGTGTCTGTGCTTGGAGAAGCAGCAGAAGAAGAGGTTCAAAACGAGCAGGATGACGGCGAACACGGTACACACGCCGAGCGTGGCGTAAAACTGTTGATAGTTGCTGGGCTCGTGTTCACTGAAGAACGGGTTTCTTGTGAACTCGTCCTTATCGTCTAGAACCACTGACATAATGCGCACGGGCGCTGAAAACGGTCAACAGAAGACCGTTCACTGTACTGTTTACTGTTTGTCAGGCATTCAAGCGGTCGTGCAGTTCTCGGGACACGATTATGGCAATCCTCGGTCGTGGTTCCCGAACGGCTGAATTACGTTATGCGTGAAAAATATAACAACGGACAACGCGAAACAGGTAAACAACAACAACAACGGCGACGGACGGGTTGTGACAAACGCCCTGGACTGGAATCCTCGTCGTAACGCCCGTGATAACGTGGTAGGTGGTATTTACGAATCCTTTTGTTCCATGACAATATGGTCATCGAAACTGATAACACGGGAAAATACAGTAGTCACTCGATAATTCGAACCTCGATAATTCGAAAAACTCCATAAATCGAACTAAACGCTAAGTCCCATGAGAAAACCTCTATAATTAGAAAAAAATACATGTATTCCGGTCCCCTCGATAATTCGAAATGTCTGTCGGTGAGGCACACTCTACAATTCGAATTTTTTTTTCACGAATCTCTATAATTCGAATTTCACACAATAATATTCCTCATCTTGAAAATATAAAAATTAATTTTTTACCTCCCAACACTACATCAACTTTCCAACCACTAGACCAAGGAATAATAAAAATTTTTAAAATGATGTATCGAAAGGAAATTGTTCGAGAAGTGTTGGCGTGCATGGGTGATGTTCCATGTAAAATTTCTATACTCACTGCTATGAAAATGGTACTCAAAGCATGGGAAAATGTTAGTGCACAAACCATCGTGAATTGCTTCAGAACTTGTGGTTTTATTAAGGATGGACAGAAAATTGGTGAAGGTATTCCTGTTCAAAGTGAGGAGGTTGAAGTTCTGCTTAGCACATGGAACAGACTAGAAGTTCCCGTATCATTTGAAGAATTTGTTCACTTTGACGATAATGTCGCAACTGCTGGTACTTTTACTGACGAGGAAATTATTCAATCCACTTCAGTCAATCAGCACAATTCTGACAATGATGACGAGGAAGAGGAGGCGGAGGTTCCTGTCATATCGTTAAAAGAAGCAAAATTGTTTATGTCAGGATTACGTCAATTTTTTGAACAATCTGAAATGGACGAAAAAAGATGCGATACAATTTTTAATGCTATTATTAAGTTAGACAATGCTATGGACCAGATTGCGACCAACAATTTTTCACAAAAAAAAAAACAGATTTCTTTAATATGTAATATGTATATAAAATATAATACTATGTATGTGTAATAAATAAATATCAATTAAAAATTTTAAAATGTACATAATTATATTTATGATAAGTTAATGTCAAAATAAACGTTATATATATATATATGTATATATCGTACAATGTATTTTATTTATTAATTTTTTTCCTTCGATTATTCGAACACTCGGTAAATCGAAAACCTCTATAAATCGAATTTTTAACTCGGTCCCCCGAATTTCGAATTATCGAGTGACTACTGTACTACTACAACCACAGAACATTCAACCATAGACGCAGTGCCGCAATAACCGAGTGTGTAACGTGTGTCGAACACGCGGGCACATAGCTCCGGCTTATAATAGGACTCGGTGATAATAGTTTAAAACTATGTAGAAAGCAAGAAAATAAAACCATTTTCTAATAATAATCATTACTGGAGATTGAACAATATTGTTGATTAATTTTGTTTTGTACACATTATCGTACATCAACGTTTCTTTTGCGGCCTGTATAATCGAAATTCAAAATAGTTTTATTAAAATTAATTTGTTCCCCTGTAGATTCCGGACGCGGGGAGGGAGGATTAATTTTATTTACACACAGGCCCAGATTATTGAAGTTGTGTCACTGCATAGACATGTAATTCCTAATATATTTACGCCACTGCTTTCTATAATAGTTTTTTTAATTTATTATGTACTAATTGTCTTCTCTACAATATGATTAGTAAGGACCTACATCTCCGTAATATATCATACTGATGTCTTTCTATTATAGTTATTTTTAATAGAAAAACATCAGTATGATATATTACGGAGATGTATATATTTTTTAAAACATTATTACTATACATTATTACTATACTACTAACATTATATTATAATGTGTGCTTGTATTACTCTCTGATTTAAATTAATAGTTCCTTTCTATTGTTGCGAATATTATATTATTTATAATCATTTCCCGATCCCTACTATTTACGATTAATGTGGTCTCTCCTATGTAGTAAAAGTCGTAAGAACCTATATCTATGTATGTTCGTAACACAGCTATCCTGCGTGTCAGTATCAGCGTTATCACCGGACTCGACGTACGATCTCAAAACAACTGCAGCTCAAATTCTTATTTGAATTTAATATTTTTACCTTTATCTAAGTTTAGTTTTTATTTTAAGTCTTAGGTCGCTTGTATAATCATTATTTAGCCATGAGTGTCTTGTACAACGATGACGTCGGTTATTTCATATCGCACGAGTTGTTCATCTCGAAATTGTACCGTACAGCCGTGAGCGAAAACATTATGTTTTTTTACGAACATTTTTTTCACATTGACAATCCATTCGTTAAGGAAAAACAACAAGCAATTAACACCCGATCGAAAGATGATGATGACTATGGCGTCAGCACAAAACGCAAACGGAAACATCTACAACCTATGGTAAATCATTCAAATTATCACGTAGAATTGGTAATGTTGTTTCATCAAATCGTTCACGGCAATGCATTCACTATAAAACACATTGTTTCGGAAAACGTATAACACTCATTGTTTTTAGGTAAATGAAATAGTTCAAAGAATCAAAACTTTCATATCTAACTTAAAAACCAACAGTGTTATATTTTCTGTGCCGATTAGCACTTCTGAGAATAATAGCTGTGCTAGACAAGCATCTATTGAATTTTACGAAAAGACCAAAGAGTTAAAAACATTATTTGGACAAAACTCAAATCCAATTTTACATGAAGAAAATGGCTATATGTTTCCTCCGAATTGTAAGTTTTATTGTGATGATGTTATTAACATGAAAAAACTCGGAAATGAAAAATATGATTTAATATTGATGGATCCACCATGGACTAATACATACATTCAAAGGAGAAAAAAATTTAATAGAGATGAAGGGTATTAAAGTAATTAAAATACTATATGTATTGAATATATTGGTTAAATAGTATTCACTATTAATAGTTATTAATGTTATATATTCTTAGGTATTCCATGATGATTGACAAGGATTTAGCACAGTTACCAATAGACGATTTTCTTAATACAAATGGTTTAGTTTGTGTATGGTGTACAAATTCTCAAAATCACATTGATTCATTGAAAAGTGTATTATTCCCAGCGTGGAAAGTAAAATATCTGGCATGTTGGTACTGGATAAAGGTACTATTTCTAGCTTTAGTCATTGATTAAATTTACATTCAATATGTATTTAATCAAAACTTACTATTAATAATTTATTTTAATATTTGTGTAATTATAAAATATTTGTTGAATGATTAATTTAATATACTTCAGGTAACTAAATCTGGAGAATTTATTTGCAATTTTGCATCATCAACTGGTAAACAGCCTTATGAACGTATAATATTTGGAAGAAAAATTGACAGTGATTCTGAATTAATAAATCCTGAAGAAAATAAATTAATTGCAAGTGTTCCAAGTTCAGTTCATTCACATAAACCTCCATTAACTGGTAATTATGGTTTTTATTCTTAATTTATGAAAGTAATTCAATTTCTTATTGTTACTGATTCAATTTTTATAATTTTTATATTATTTTATGTAATTTTTTTTTTTTAGAATTATTAACTCCTTATTTGCCTTCATCTCCAAAATGTTTAGAACTATTTTCAAGGTATTTATTACCCAATTGGACAAGTTTTGGACTCGAAGCATTAAAATTTCAACATAAATTTATGTTTGAAACTTCAACTATAGAACATTGTTTACACAAATCCAAAACTAATTTATAAATTTTTAACTAAAATTAAACAAAATTTAAGTTCATTGCTATTAATCATGTAATATATTTAGTTTTACAATAAAATAGACAGTTAATTTTAGTCTAAATCTCAAAGAAGACATTTGTAAAATTACTTTTCTTGTGGCCTGTTCACTAGTAAGAAACCCATTTAATTGTTAATACACTATTGTACTCTGCTTAGCTGTTAAGTGTGTACTCAAACTAAAATAGTGCCTATTGTTAATTTAATTGTTAGCATAAAATATTTAACCTAACACCATAAAGAGAAAAAAATTATAATCCCAAGAAATAAATACACTTATATATTCAAATATACTTTTTTAATAATATAATTGATGAGATACAATTTTTTTATGTATAAACAAGTTTTTATAAACTATATATTTTTTTCTACTTTGAAATTAATAAAAAAAATTATGAGCAAAATATTCATAATTTTAATTTGAGTCTTTTTTAATAAAAATTGTCCTATTATTATACTTACAATATAATAAATAATTGTTATTCAATTTTTCAGAAATTGTATTGGTAATTTAGAATCTTACCAAAATTTGTTTTGATTGATAAAAATAATATATATTATTAATTTCAAATGTAAGTTTAATTTATTCTACTTAATATATTATGGGCTATTATTTTTTTTTTACTTTGACAAACAGAACACTGAAGTATAACCATTGTTCTTATAAAATACAATTTTATCAAACCATTAGAAAAATATCAGAGATGGCCAATGATATCAAGTAATTTTCAAAATGTGAAATACTTCTAAGAAATAAGTATTTTTTAATTTTATTTCGCCACATAAAATTAAATAATTATGTATACATACATTCAATTAAATTATGAAATTATAAAAAAATTCATAAACACATATATATTTCTAAATAACATAACAAAAATTACTATTTATAATATTATTATGAGTAAATAATTCTATACATAGGTTGTCTATTTAAAAAAAATTAAATTAAAAAAATGTATCTACCAAATAATTCTCATTATTTAATTAAAAATCTTTGTGTAATAAATAAAATTAAACAAACAATTATTTGGCCATCCCCAACAAATTAATACCTAATATATTAATATCTATAAATCATATTACTTTCTACTACCCCAAATTCTGTTTAGATTCTTAAATCTTGTTGACATTACTTTATTTAAGTAATTTTAGAAAACTGAACTTTATAAACATTTGATTTACCACTCATACAGTCTTTTATTGATCAGATACATAGAGATTATAGCAACTAACTATAATCATCAACATACAATTATTGTACTTTTTTCTTCACTGATCTGACCGGTGGAACTATTAATGGTAGAACATACAATCCTAACGCAGCTAATATGTGTAAATAGAACTTAATATGCCTGAAAAAAAAAATTATAACAGTTAAAAAAGCACACCAAATATTGCAAACTATATGAAATATTTAAAAAAAAAAAGTGGTAAATAATGTAATTAGTTTTTTCTCACCAAAATACACGTATGGCAGGCATAAATTCTAATATTATGAAGGAAAATGTCATGTAAGATAAGCAAAGTCTTGTCAAGAAACATGTAACAATGTCATAGGCTAATTTAACAGGTTTAGGTTGTTGGAATCTGTGCCATAAACATCTCCGAACCTAGAATAATAAAAAAAATACTATATTTACTATTTTACTATTATAGTTAAAAGGCTTTATGTAATAACCATTCTTGCACTATTTGTAAATAGTGCTCCAGTAAGGAATGTCACATAATACCCAGGATAGAACCCATGCCAGAATGCAGAGAGGGTATATGTCATGACAGTATTGTATTTAGGCGATGCTCTTTCATACATAACATAACGGAGCCATAGATTTGTGCCTTTGTTCCATGCATCAATTGTAGCTCTGAAGTTAACACCAAACTAGAACAAATCAAAAAAAAAAATTTATATATTGTGATGAACAAAACCTAATAATTTTATGATTATTCAAATGTATACCTCTACTCCTAAAATATCGATGTTATCAAGTAAATTCCATTTTTGATCACCTTTCTCATTATAACCAGAAAATCCAAAACCAGAAGCATTGCAAACAGCATCAGCTAAAGTCCAAGCAAAGTAATATTTAAATCGAGTTAGAGATGTTATTACTATAATAAACCAAATTTTTGAGTAAAACGGAGAATTGCGTAAAAATTCATCATCTGAAAATATATCAAAAATGTAGATTTTTAAAACATTTTATATAAATTATTAATAGCTCAAATATTATATAATTAAATTAATAATTAATATTATTTATTTATTAGTCTTAAACCAAATTCTAAATAATTTTATAGTATATGAAATAAGAAAAGACATAATAAATGTTTTAAAATAGTTACAAACCAATTAGTGTAGAAGCAGGATACATTGGTACGATGAAATAAATTATAAAAGCACACATAAATGTAATCAATATCTTTTTCAAAACTGGTATCAAAGGTGATGGAGCAGATTTTGCCTAAAAAAAAATATTTACATTATGGAATATATTAATTAAATTAAATAAATATAAGTAGATAATTTATTAGATGTTTTCATACAAAGGAGTTTATGATAATATTTACCTCTTTTGGTATTTTTTTAGGAAAATTGGAACCATCTAAATAAGCCATATAGTCCTCAAAAAATGCATTAGGTCCTGCCAAAATGGTTTGAAATGTCAATAAGTAGCTGATATAATGCATTGGTGTTGGTTTTTTTCTAAAAATATTATTAAAATATATATTAGTATATAATTAACTTGAATACATTTTTTTAACTATATTCAACCTAATCATATAACGCTTTTGAATATCTGTTAATTCTTTTTTGTCAACCAAAAGACCATCATGTAAACCACATGCTAATGCTGATAATTTTTGTACCATTACCATAACTGGACCTGAATAATCAATACAATATACAAATATCAGCAAAAATACTAAAATTGATTAATAAGATATTAAAAAAAAAAAAATTAAATTTATGCTGTATAATTACCAGCAGTGTTATTCTTCTATAAATATATATGCAATATAATTTATACAAGTAAATTATTAGCAACTAATTATAGGTAATTATACCTACACTAAAAAAATTAAAATAGTTATAATTAAACTAAAAAGTATGATACTTATACTATAATGAACATCATATAATATTAAAATCAATACATGTATACAATCACATACACAAAAAAATATTTTGGGGAGATTTTTAGGTTATACATTTTTATTCTTATATAGTATATAAACTACTTTTACTCTATATTAACATATTTAATCATTTTTGTGAATTTTGGGAGGAGGGATTGAACCCGTAAAAACCCTTTTGTACACACCTATATATATAACTTTAACTGAAATATAAATGTAACAATGAAGCCCTCACATTTTAATTGTTTTATTTAACACTAAACTGTAATAGGAATTTTAGCCCTTATGCCACCGTCATGGTAAGTATAGGTTAGGAAATATTAGGGTTAGCATGATTAAAATACATACAAGTGAAACTAAGGGGAGGAAGAAATGATTCATTCCCAAGTGTAACATTTTAGAGGGTGTAATTTCTACAGCATATAATCTATTATCGATTACTAGTTTGATATTTATAACTTTGTAACTGATAATGTATTTAAAACTCAATAAGTATGATTGTATGCTAATTATTAAAAAATATTGTAGAGAAAGGTAATTCAATTTTGGCCAATGTTAGGGTTTAATTTTACATTGTATCTAGGACGTAAGAAATTATAGTTCTACCTCTGTATACAAGTACATATATATGTATATATATGAATAATTATACAATTAATTTATAAAAATGATTCTCACAGTTTGCAGTGATTTTCATTAATTACAGAGCTACACTATTAATGTTGATCAATCCAATAAAAATATTTTAAATTGGAAAATTATATAGCATACACCTAGACTCAAGCAGACTCAATTACACTACAAATCATAACTTTAAACAAATTTACCTGTAATGTCTAATGTATAAGATCCATACTCATAAACTTGACGATAAACATGCAATAATGATAAATAAACACAACATATGAGTAAAACAGCTCTGGAAAAATTAAAATAAGAATTAGGCATAATTAAGAACGATTACTATAATAAAATATAATTACTTATGTATCATATTTGGACTTAAGGTTTGCAAGGTAACATAACATATTGATGGTAGAATAATGAGATGTAACATTTGACTGAAAAAATTACAAACATTCATAAGTAGTAATAGATAGTAAAAGATTAATTAATAATATAAATACAATTAAGATAACAAATTTGTAATTAAAATTTTTTAAAAAATTGTATATTACTATCCAAAACAGATGTAAGCCATTGATAAACCAATGATGAGCCCAATAATTTCTCGAAGTAGTATAAAATATTGATTTTTTGGGGGTAAAAATGTGTACATTAATGGTGCTATACATAATGCTACAAGTTGACAAATAACAAAATTAACCTGAAAAAAAAATAACACACAATTAAAAAATATATTACATATAAAACCAGTAATGGGTATTAATATATAAACCTTATAACTAAATTAGACAATTTATTAAATTTAAGTTTTACTTTTAATTTTATATGTAAACATTTTTAAATAAATGTTTAGTTAATTATAAACAAATAAAAGAACAATATATATTACTAAATTAAAGTAAAATCATTAAATTATTTTATTTTATTGAAGCAAATTTACAAATTTTAAAATATAGCAATTCCAATATTTAGGTTTAAGTGATTATAACAATAAAAATGCATTATTATATATTAATAATGTCATATAAATATTTTGTATACATTTCAATGAAAATAAAAAAATTTAAAAACAAATTAATTTTATATTTTGCTTAATATAGCAGGACCATAATGGGGAATTAATATAAATAACATATACTCATCTGATACATTTTAATAGTTAATTTGAATGGAATTTTTAAAATAAAAATATGTTTAAGAACAATAGGTATATGCTCAAAAAAAATTTTAAATTTTAAGTGTTTTAAATAAGAAATTTAATCATACCAAACATTTTTAACATGTATTGACCAATACCAAACATAAAAGGTCAACATGTATGATGACTTGGTTAAAATATACTGTGTACAAGTACAACATAAATCAAATCAAAATATGCAATAATATTCTATCAACATATTAAATAGCCTAGATTTAACATAGTAAATTTGCATATAAATTAAAATAATACAATTTATAACTATGGTCTCCATGATAAAAATGTTACATATGTAAACATGTACTTAGTACACTATTAAATTATAATCATGATCGATTTATAATTGAATAGTATTTCACACAAAGTAGTTACTCATAGTATTAAATGCTGGACATACTGCATTAAATTATTAAGCAATCAAACTATAAGTACATGTAATGTCATTGATTTATAAAACGAGCATGGTATAAGCTGTCAGAATGTCAACTTGTTATATAAGTAATAAGTATTATACATTATAATAGAATCACGTCATCACAAATATTAATAACTTATGTACTTAAATTTCTATGTAATTTAATTTATTATGGTATTATACTTCCGTCTTATAATATTCCTTAATATTGTCTAACAGTGCAAAATATGATACCATACATTAACTTGAAGGTGATCATTGGTGTACATACGGGGGGTTGTCGGGTTCAAAACCCCCCAGGGCCATTTATAAATGGTTATGGATAAGCATAATTTAATTAATAAAATAATTTACACTAAAAAAATAAAAATATTAAGAACTTTATGGTTTTAATATAAATTTTTAATCTTAATTAAAATTTGAGTGTGTTTAGAATCAGGGATGAGCAAGATATTTGAAATAAAGTATGTAGATACAATATAGATACTGAGAGAATATTAAGATATACTAGATATTAGATACATACATTTTTTCCCAAAAAAGATAATAAAAAAAAAATAATAATAAAAAGATAACAAATACTACTGTAGATATATTTTTTTCATCATTTAAGATACAAAATACAATTAATATTTTTTTTAATTACTTTTAATGTAAGTAAAAGTAATAAAATCATTGTTTTTCAATATTGTTTATTTCCAATAAAATTAAAACTCACAAACATTTATTGTGGGGTGCAGTAATAGGCATGACCCATTATCTTAAATTAGAATTATATGATAAAAAACAATATATAAAATACAAATAAAATCAATATAAATTTATTAATAACTTATTTATTTAAAAATGACAAATTCTTTTTAAGAGAAATTAAATTTTTAAATGTGTTAACACATAACCTAGAATATGTGGGTAAATATATAAAGCCATTTGAAAAACATTATTTAACTGGTGCTGAAGAACACAAAGTTCTATTGTGGCAAATAAATAATTTAGCCTAATTTACCCTAAAGTAGTTTTCTACTTCTCGAATTTAATTAATTTAGTGCTTTTAACAATCAACTATGTACATTAAATAAGGCAAATTTAAAATTGAATTTTATTTTTTTCTTAGAAAAGAATATATTTTCATTTATATCTTGTATTTTTTAGACAAACAAAATTAAAAGATACAAGATACACAGCCACAAAAAGTATATGGATACAAGATACAAATGAACCTATCTAAGATACTTATCTTTGATAAAAGTATCTGAGATAATGCCTATCCCTGTTTAAAACTAACAATATATGAAAATACACAAACATGCATGAGGTCAACCACCAAATTATTTAGATCTTCCCTATACCTTTGTAAAATATCATGTTTATAGCCACTTATTTAACCTCTTATAAACATTATTTCTAGCATTAAATTTGGGTTTTAAAACAGCCACTAATTCTAACCGCAAAAAGAAATAAACTAATATTTGCAGTAAGAATTCTTCTTATGTGTCTTACCACATTAATTTTTACACATTATTTTTTACAGGTATAATTTATAAGAAATGCAATGTTTCGCTGCCACCATTTTGTCCTTATAAAAAAACCAGTCCACGAATATTTTGTCCCTGTAAATTATTAAGATAGGACATTTAGTCCTATTAAGGTATTTTAAATCGCTATGTTTTTTAGTTTAAAATTTAAATTATTTTTATAAAACGCCATATGTCCTCTAATATTTTTAACATATATGTATAACGTGTATAATACCACAAAAAAGGTTATGGTTGAAAAAAACGTGTCCGAGGATTTTAATAGTATATTTAAAAATATTGTAAGAATTAGACTCCCAATTTGTCTATATTTTTATTGAGTTCTATAATATATGCAATGCATCTGTAATAACAAAAAAAAAAATGAATTTATAAATTTTCCAAAAACAAATCATTATGAAGATAAAATAAAACAATACTTTAATGAATTTAATTGTAATAATGATAATCATATTTTATATTGATTATTCAATTACATTGTAATATTAGAAATAATAAACTTAGTTAAATATTTTATCATTAATCTTATTATTCATTTTTCTAAACAGGTAATGTAAAAATAAACAATTCCATCTCAAATTTGAAAAAAAATATAGGTAGTGTTTCATCGATAATAGATGAATTCCCAATCAAACATCACCCTTTTAAAAGACCTAGACTAATTTAACTTTAACTATAAGTTAAGGCACTCATATATATTGGAAGACAAAAAAATGTTGGAAAATCAAGCTTTGCTAGGGATTCAAGAGGAATGAATGAATCATACATTTTAGTAAATAAGTAACGAACAGGAAACCATAGCCACCTTAAAAGTTATGAGTGTTGTGTGTCATATACATATAATTGATGATCTGACGAACGTCGTAGGAAAACAGACGAGTTACACATATTTACCAGATCTACAGTAAGTCCGATGTTGGTTGACAGCGACAGGAAGAGATCACTCCCGTGATAGTTCTGTGGTTTCATTATTTCGGTACCGTTGCTGGAGGACCGTACGCGGATAAAAATTTAAAAAAATAAAAGATTTACAAGGAAAAAAAGTAATGTGGTAAAGAAAACCGCGCCGGTCACGTCAAGTTTGTCATACCGTCTGATAAAAAGTGATTACTGTGGTGAAATAATAGTGTCACAAGCGCAACCGAAGAACGGTCCGAAAACCACAATTGACGGACGGAAAACTGATCACAGAACTGCAAAAATGCAGCTCACGGAATTGCATAAACACATTGCAATGAACATTGGTACGGTTACAACGACGACGACGGCCACAAGCCGATTGTAGTTTTGTAATTACCACCGCGGCGAAATATAATGCCGACGACTTATCAATAAACCATCACGCACACTAGCAATCGTTATCAAAGATAATATTAACTGATAGTAGAGAAGGTCAACGAACCCCACGGAGTCGTTATTAGCCTTTTCGTACGTCACGTAACGATCGCAACAATTGAAAACGTAAATGTTATAATACGGTAAATGATTTACCGACATAGACGCAGGGCCAGATTTACCTGAAATGCGTCCATAGGCAGTGGCGTATTTGAGGAGGTTGGGCGATGGGACAATTGCCCCCCCCCCGAGAATTTTTAGACCAAGACAATTATTATATAAATAATGGGTATTTTTTTTATTAAGAAACAAAAATTATGATTTATTTTATAGTATTACTACATTTGAAAACTTTTCAAATTGTACGCTAATTAAATAACACAAAACGCTAAATTTTTCATAACGTTTTAATTGTCAATAACGGTAAACGGAAATTTTTTTAAATGTTTAAATTTGTATAACGTTTAAACGCTTAAATTGAATAACATTTAAATTAGGTACCTATTTATAGCGTTAAACGCTCAATTGCTTATAACGTTTGTAGGATGCCCCATAACGATAAATATTATATATTATTTTGATTGAAGATCCAGTTCATACTTAATGAAAAATTAGATAAAACACAAACGAAACTTTCAAAACACAAATAGGTGTTAAAAAGAACTACACAAAACACCATTTTAAGTGGATTCGGCATTAGATTGAAAAAAAAACCACAAATATTTAGGATTCACCTGATATAAATATTACCAAAAATTTTACTTGTAAATTTTGAACCTGAATTAAAAAAAAAAATTTGAGTTGCTCCCTCCCTAGAAGTAAATCTAAATACGCCCCTGCCCATAGGCTAATTAAGAACGAGCACCCCTGATTATTGGAACATAAATGAGAACTGAGACCCCCTTCCTAATTTATTTACAATTTTTTATGTTTTTATAATGAATTTAAAAGTATACTAATTGGGCAAAGGAGGCGAAGGCGTGTGTTCCATTGTTTTATTTTATTTAATGTATGTTCTTACCATGTGAGTCTTTTGTCAATAATTATTTCCCGATATTTTATTGAGTTTGAGTGTGGCAAAGAGTTGTTATTTAGCATAAGTGGTCATTATTCACTTGTACTGATTTAGTTTCGTTTAGCTTGATTTTCTATTATTTAGTACACCGGTTCCCAAACTATGCACTGCGGTTTATAAAATATATTGTTAAAAATGTAGATAATTTTTTATTTATTAATTTTTCCTTATTGTTTTCGTAAAAATTTTATAGCAAATAATGTAATATTTTCTATTGTATATTCGGACATTCACATTTTAACCTTATAATATATTTAGATAGTAATTAAAATCATAATAACAATAATTTTTATTAATATATTTTTTAAGTTTAAAAATGCATTCATTTATAATTAAATTTTAATAAAATGTTGTGTATATTTTCTTTTTGTTCTGTCTTTCATGATGCTCACAAAAGGGTACCGTGGATAAATTGGGTCAAAAAAAAGGCACCGCGGAAAAAAAAAGTTTAGGACTATTGGTTTAGTTTATGCTCTTGTTATAATCTGAGGGTCATTAATTGACAATAAGATTGCTGTTTTGTCGCGTCGCGCGTAGACACACATGAACACTTACACAACAAGGGGGTTCCTGTGAACGCATCTATGGATGGTTACACATAATCTATTTGCAACTATTTAGATAATCAGAACTACAAAAACCACAACCGTGGACAGATTATTAAATTATTATTAAATTGTATTATTTTATTAAAATAAGTAATAAGAGCGACAGTAACCACATCCTATATCTGTGCGTCACTGAATATGAGCCGGTCGGGAGATTATTCACAAATACAGAATTCACAGGAAATTATCTTATTTTATTATCAGTTTTCATATACACACACACACACACATTTAAGATTTACACACGCTTGCATATATCAGATATAAAAGGGACCTGAAAACAAGGGCAAATCAGATGAGTTTTGGCTATACTGCACTGAGTACCTTCACGTCAGCATATGTCATGTTCCGGACTTAGAAATATTTCAAACTATTTTTATAAGTTATAATTGTTAGGACTTAGAATAATTTCTATAATACAAATTATTTGGACGTAGAATATTTATAAATTGTAGTTAGAATAATTTTATAAGTTTAATAAATTAAATTATTATGAAGTCTTAATTATTCTTCACTACACCTACATCCAAGCGTTGACTAAGACATTAGCACTGAAATCACGGATCAAACGGTTGGCACGTAACAATACTTGCCAAAACTATAATTAGATAAAACATGATTATTGGTGACAGTGACTGGAACATAAGTGATCAGCATCTCTCAAAAAATTGTTTTAATAATTACCAATCATGTTAAAATGAAAATTTTTTAAAGTATTTATTTTAAATAAAATAATAAAGATTTTTGAATTTTTATATATTATTTCGATTTATTTCAGCGCAAAAGCAATAGGTAAACCAAAAATATTGTTGATGCTGCAGCGAGATATTTTTTAACCCACTTCTTTTTTATAAATAAAAAATAATTTTTTTTAGTCTTTAATTTTTGAACATTTAACTATAAGTAATAAACAGTATATAGTTGTAAAAAAGTAAGAAAAAAACTAAGTTTGTGGGCAAGATGGGTTTTTTTATTTATTAAAATCTCAAGCCTCAAAGAGTTAAAATATTTGTAAAAATTGTTTCTTAAATATCTTAGGACAAAGATATAAATTGTAGTTGAACAAGTATTATCATTGAGCTGCAGAAAATATTAAATTATAAAAGGAAAAATGACGAAGGAATGCAACAGTTCAATATTTTGTGTAAGGTATACAAATACAAATTAAAATATAACATCTTGTGTAATATTTTTATGTTAGTCTAATTTATTTAGACTTATAAAAGTGAACAAAAATAAAAATTGATAATTCTTGTAAAAATCTTTACTCTGGATTTAAAGATTTTTTCTTCTTCTTCTTTTTCTTTTCTGAGTTAGTTTCAACATTTAATTCTGCAAAATTAAAACAAAAAAATGTATACTAATTGTAAATAAGAAAATATTTAAAAAATATAATCTCCATAGTTCAAATAAATTGTTAATTAATTTAACATACAATTTATTTAAAAATTAAATTTGTCAACTAATTTAAGAATTTATTAGTTATTAATTTACTAACGATTTAATCAATTTTTTTAACCTGGTATTTAGTAATTTAATTTAATTTTGGCGTTATAATCTAAAAAAAAATTGTTTTAACCGAAATATTTTATACTAAAAAAAACTGACACATGAAATATAAAAATTGTAAGTAGGCTGGTCTAAATAGTTAAAAACGTTACCTGCAGTTTCAGTTTCTTCAATTTTATTCTTATTTTTCTTTTTCTTTTTACCGGGTTCAACTAAAACAATCAATAATATAATAAGAATTCTGAAATTACAATACAATTGTTCATCACACAAGAAATTAACATACCAATTGTTTCATTAACTGATGTATCTGCAACAACAGAATCATTATTTTGCTTCTTCTTCTTTTTCTTTTTGGGTGTATTTTCTGTGAAAAAAATTAATTTATATATATATATATAAATTAATTGAATGAATACAAAATATGTATTAAGTTCAATTAGGATAATAAGACTAAAAAAATTAAATTTTTCAATAGCTGGCCGACAAGACATTTCCTTTGATAAAATTATGTATTTTGCTGCATGGGTTACACTTAGATTGATTCACATTAGTTAAGCACTTTGATTATAACACACAAAGTATAATTTAAAATTCCCAGTTAACTAACTTTAAACTATCTAATCTACAACTTCGAAAAAAGCAGCAAAAATACTTATTTTAATCAAAATTGAATAAAATATTAAAAAATATGATGAAACATCTAAATAAAATAATAGAACTATTGAGTTAATCACATTAGATACAACTGATATTTGAAAATATAATTTAATTACTATTAAACAGCAAAATAATGTAATAATTCAGGAAATAAAATTGCATATTTACCATCCTCGGCAACAATAACATGTTCTTCCACTTGTTCTTGATTTCCTCGTTTTTTCTTTTTTTTTGATGGTGTTTCTATAAAACAAATATTAATGATTAGTTAGTTCAAATATCAAAATATATTTTGCAAAGCTTGGCCAATTTCAATTTTTAAATGGTAATCTAAAAATTAAATATCATTAAATAACATGAGAATGATAAACAATGGATTAATTATATTTTATAAAAATTATTATTTGTTAGTTTGCAGTACACCGCTTCTAATTTAAAAGTTTGTAAACAAATCATTATCAAAATTAAGTCTTATGACATAAATTAACATAATCTTTATAATTTAACTTTAATTTCTTTAATATTTATGTGGCATAAGTGAAAAAGAAATTTGATGTTTTTAAATATTAACAATTAAAGAAATAACAAAAAAAGTTAAAATTAATTGATTAAAAGTTAAGGTAATTTTACCTTCAGTTAATACTGAATCTTGTTCACTTTTAATTGAAACATTAGCACCATTGTTTAAAGTGTTTCCATTTGATTGTTCCTTATTCTTTTTCTTCTTTTTTTTTGGAGGTTCAACTATAATTATAATTAACAATTAGTATTAGTTTTAAAAAGAAACAATATTAATATAAAAAAAGAATGATCACCTCCAGGTTCTTCTTTGATGTCTTCAGATTTTACTTCATATTCTTGTTTCACACTGATATCTTCAATTTTACGTTTATTGCTAGGAATAGTTGAGTCAGCAGCAGCTGAATACTGTACTATTTCTCTAAAAAAAATAATTAAAAAAAAATAGTTTAACAATCCATTTTTAACATAAATAATTCCAAAAGAAACAGATAATAAAGATACCTTTTAACTTGATATTTTTCAAATTTAGCCTTAGCTTTTGCAGTTCCACTAATTCTAGTCATAGAACCTTCTTCCATTAAACGAAGTTTATATTCTAAATTAGCCAAATGATTAGTACCCAAGTCCATACTAATTGTATCAGATTCTCCAAATGCATCAAAACGAGCAGCAAGAGCAACCTTAGCTGCCAACATACGAGACATCTAAAAAAAATGTAGAAATTAAATTAAAAAATATTAAACATGAAGATTTATTACTTGATTTAAATAATTTATACTCACTCTTCCTTTAACTTTAGCAGTTGCTCGGCCAACTAAACTGGAATGATAAATAAGACCATACTTTGGTGTATCATGTTTTTTCTTTAATGCTCTGAATAATGCTTTTTCAGCTCCACAAAGCTGAATTGTTGATGCAGGCATTTTAGCAACATTAACTAATGATCCTATATAAATACCATAAAAAATGTTTAACAAAATAAATTAGTAATATAAATAATTTAGAATTACCTCCTTGAGCCAATATTCTAGCTCCAACTAGATCACCAAGAAGTACAGTTACATTAGGTGCTACAGCCATCATTCTAGACTTTAAATAATCTGACAAAGATGTTCGGTAAGTAGAGATGTCCAATATCTATAATAAACAATAATAAAATGACAAATATGTACAAAATTAATTAAAAAAAAAAAAAAATTCTCATTATTATTATTATAAAGATATTTAATACTTATAATGGTAAATAGTTAAACTTAATTATATTACAAATTTGATACAATAACCATTAAAACACATTTAACTTGACACAACTATTAAGAATTTGTTAAATGACACAACAAAATAATAATTAATACTCCAATATCAAATTTTAAAAATTATGTATATCAAAAACATAAAAGGAAAATATACTAGAAAATATTAAGTTGACTAATACTTTAAAATTACAAACAGAATTTTAATAATATATAAAATTATTTACTACCCAAGAAATTTAAAAATATATGACATTACATGAATCCAAAAATATATTTTATATATAAAACTATTAATTAAATTGAGAATACATAGAAGATATTAAATATTGGTAATTACTACTTTTAAAGTAAATAAAATTATAACCAATTAAATTTTAAATGAAAAAAAATTACTCCTGTTACTAAGTATGAGAATTGTATAATATAAGAACAACTATAATATATGTATTTTGGTTTTTGGTTCAATCATAACATTAAAGTTGAAAATTAGAACATTAATAAAAACTAATATATCAACAATATTATACCTCATCACATATTTGTACTATATGCTGTATATCATCATCAGCTATTTCTGTTCCCATAGAAATTTCAGCAGCAGCCTTAACTTGCTCTTCTAATGCAGGACTCAATATAGAGGATAAATCTATTGATTTAGCATTTTCCCTCATACCTAAATAAAATAAAATAATAATCATTTATTTTTATTTTTTTTTTCTTTCATATAGAGATAATAATGATCATTTTATAATATCAAATAAATTAAGATACTTACCAAGAGTTTTAATGGTTTTAACATATTCTAAATTATCAGTGAGAATCTTTCCAAGTTCTGGGAAATGCCAACCATACCATTCTCTACATCTCATTATGTAATTGTTAACTTCTTTATCAAGTTCATCTAACAGTCCAATAGCTTGTACTATCATTGTATCAATTTTGTCAGGGCTAAATTTAAGCTTGTAACGTGATAAACTGTAATAAATAAGATACATTCATAAACTGAAGATCTATAATGAAACATTAAACTGTACCTGTGAGCTAAACCTAATGACATGGCAGTTAAGTCTTTCTTAGGAAGGCCAACTAATAAATTTTCAAACTGAGACCGAATGCATCTAAGTAAATCACCTGCAGAAGAACTAGAAACACAGCTGATATTGAATTTCTCTTTAATAGCTGAACCAAGTTTTGGATCAGCAACCATCAATGAATCAGTAGTATTTACATGAGATTTTATAACCTGACAAGCACATTCATTAATAATAATTGTATTTATTAAATCAAAATTAAATATTAATAAATTTTTAAGGTTTATACTTTTTTTAATGATTTGCACATTTTTCCTTCAATTAAAGATGCAGCTGATGCCAATGCTTCTGTTGTATCTTCAAATTTTTGAAAATGTTTTAACTTAACGCTGAAAATGATTATATTGTCATAAACTTAATTCAATTTTAAGAAGATCTTAATAGATTAATCTTATAATATATAAAAATATTAAATTAACAAAATTTGTAATTAAAAATTAAATGTACTTAATAGGTAGTTAAATGTTTGTAATCATATGATCAATAATTAAAATTATAAATCATTCAAAATAAAAAATAAATAAATTTAAGGTATATGAGCTAAAATATATAGTATATTATTAACTGTGAAAATAACAGAATTACATGATGCATGAATTACTCAATGTACAATAACTGCTAAAATATTTTATAAATATTATAATATGGCTAATTTTACCAGTTAGGTAAAAACAAATGCAACCTGTGGTTAATTGTTATTACTATAAACCTTGTTACTTATGGAATTATTGAAAGTAAATAGTTCACAATAGGTAAAACAAATATAAGAAAATTTTAGTACTTATAAAATATTACTGTAAATAGTTTATAAATAGTTATTTCTAATTATACATTACATAGTTGACAAATAGATAACAGCAACATTATAATAGTAGTTTAACTTGAAAAAAAAATAAATGCTATTTTATTAGGAGTACACTGAAACTATAAGACAGCTGATGAATTTAAAACTATCTGTTATAAAATAATAATGTTCAAACAGGAATTATTCATAATAACTGAGTATTTTTCTCAACTACTTAAACGCGAAATAATTTATCTAAACTTAACCATGTAGCATTTCAACTACAAAATGTAATATATAGTTATGGAGTTATGGTGTGTAATTACATCTTAGACGATTCCTCCGGCGTCTGAAAATGACTGTACAAATCGTTAACATTTTTCAGTTTCTTTTCGTCCAGCAACTAATAACAAAAAAATCCAAAGGAAACCATTAACGTGAAAAGCCGACGTAGACGTGGTAATGAGAGATAACCAGCAAATATCTAAATACCTTAAAAATAGCGTATCCAGCTGAGGTTTCGAACAAAACCAACATATTGGATATGTTGTCTATAAACGATAACTATTAAAAACCCATACAAAACAGATAAATTGCGTAAAAATTAAAAAAAAAGTTTATATCCAGAAAAAAACACAAGAAGAGCTATAAGTAAGGCTCGTGATACGCGCACATGTTTGATTTAATTTTCAAACAAACTCGTTTCGGTATTAAGTTCTTACATCACGCAAAGTTTAAGGTTATATACGGGTTCAATGCCTTGGAAGAAAAAATCTACCGTGGTAATCACAGTCTTTGAAGACCCATAAAATAATAATTCTTATTTACATGTTTATGATGGAACCAATTATAACAATACAAATAATAAATTTAAAATAAATTACGAAAAAAAAAATTAAATACATAACACTTGAAATGGTTTGAGTAACACGTTTAAATAGGATAAATAAATAAAAACGTAATTATATACTTAAATAAAAAACAAAATAAATATAATAAATAATTAAAATTAATCATGAAACAATTCTGTGTACAGTTGAGTTATTAAATTACCAATAATGTTTTCAGTATTTTAGTTTATAGCCATTTCTTGATCTGTAGTCGATAGCTATTTAATCTCTCTTGAATTATTTTACTTCTTAATTTCATTAACACATTAAATCGTTATTAAAGCATATGATTTGTGCTTCAAAAATAAATTAAACTGTCTGGGACTGAATATAAAAATATAATAAAAATCATAATGTAATACAATATCACATAATATACATAAGTCCAAATAGTTTTATTTTATTTATTTTTTGTAATTTTAGAAAGAAGGATCTATATTTAGGGTATGCAGTTGCATACCCTGCATACCCCCTGCGCACGCCTATGATACAAATGCTTTATAAACGTATATTTTACAGGGTAATTTTATGTAAGATAGTTTTGCTTCTGTTCCAGGATCGAAGACATTTTTATTACTTCCTCATTCCTACAAAATTAAATTAAATTAAATTAAATTTTTAAATTATAATAAATACCATATTTAAAAATTTAAAAAAATTCAGCTATACTTTGTACTTTAGGTTATTAGGTAATCTGTGTATGGTCCATATGTATCTATCTATGTATGGTCATTGATTTACAAACTAGTTTACTTTACTTATGAGATTTGAAAAAAAAATTAAAAGTCGAATAAAAATTTTTCGATCACTTCGTTACGACAATCGTTCACAACGAACGCGATGCTGCTCTTGTCTGTTATTTTATTTTATTTTCTTTACACTACAAAAACCTGCAAAACCGTGTTTGGTATCTTCAAAACTAAAAAACCGACCTGAATGTTTTTCATCATCATACCAAATCCTAAAACGGCTCAATTCAGAAATGTGAAAATATTGATAGGTAATTATAATAGCTAAAATTACTTTATCTAAACCGTTATATTATTTTGCTGCCTTCAGACTCCTCGGCTGTCAGCCGGTCGTAGCTTATTACTCTATTATACCAGAAGTGTGATTAGCTCATATTACAAAAATATTTAGTAAAAATACTAATCAAACCTAAATGCAAACCAATAAAAACAAAACTAAAAACCATAAAATTCCATTCTTTGTGGAACTCAAACCCACCGAGATGAACAAAGCCTTATTTCACATAACATCTATTCTCCACACAAAAATTAAGATAGAAAAACCACATAAACGTCCTGAAATCGTACAATGTTTCAACTGCCAAAATTATGGCCATTTTAAAAGCTATTGCTTTCAGGGATGGACTGGGCCGGTGGGCAGGTGGGCAAATGCCCACTGGGCTGTTCTGTGTATTTATTGTGTATTTTTTGTTACTAAATACTATGTAAGTGGTGAAAGATAAACAGTACGGTATTTAGTAACAGATTACAGAAAAATTACTAAATAAGAACATAAGGTTTATAGACGATAGACAATATACACGGTGTTTCAAGTCTTCATCCGATTACGAACTGATATAGTTCGGCAACAGTTAATCGCAGGTTAATGACCGATGTATTAATGGAAAGATTATATAACTAAGTTTATTTTAAGTTATTTAGTTGATAAATTTGGCATCGTAATGGTTAGTGAACTAGGAACCGTTAGTTTGTTTCGTTATGACGACTCCACAACAGAAAGCGTTTTACGTCATACGTTTCAATAAGTGCGAGTTGGCATTAAGCATTCAACGTGATTTTCGAAGAACTTAGGGAACTGAAGCTCCTACTACTCAAAGGATTCGACGTTGGCACCAAACGTTCCAAGAAAGTGGTTGTCTGTGTGCACAGAAACTCTCAGGTCGACCTCGTTTCTCTGACGGAAACATCGAGCATGTTTAACAGTTTTATTCGAAGTTCATCCCTGGTCACCACGTTTCCCTGACCTCACAGTGTGTGATTTTTTTATCGGGCTACATAAAAGATAATGTGTATGTACCACCATTACCTACAACCTTGGAAGAGCTTAAAATTAGAATCAAAGATGCTGTTCATGTCGCGATATCAGATATGATCAGCAACGTTTGGGAAGAATTTGATTACCGTATAGATGTGTGTCGAGCAGCCGGTGGAGGTCATATTAAACATTTGTAACCAAAGTAAATAAAACTTGACTATTTTAAGAATATATTTTACTTTATTTTACCCTTATATCTTCATTTTTAATATAAATATAAATTTTTAAAATTGGATGAAGACTTTTGATACACCGTGTATGTATTTTTACAAACCAATAAATTTTGTAGATATTTACTTAGATAACGTGTGCCTTTACTTCGTTCGACGGCCTATAACATTTTGTAAATAAACCCTTATAACCACAGACTCGTGTGTGTAACCACAGCTCGTGGTAATACGTAGCTGTTCATGTTATCTATTTTAAAAACAACAAATAATAATCAGGGGTTCCCTAAAAGACAGTCAGCAACACCACTAATGTATTTTGATATTATAACACTCATGCATGATTCGATAAGCAATAAATAATCGGCCTGTAGATTTAATAAATTACCTTGTGTCAGTGGCGTATTTATGGGTGGTTCTGGGGGTTTTCACCCACCCCCCCCTCCAATAGATGAAAACGTCAAATTTTAAACATATACTGTGTAATATAAAAGTTTTAGTTTTTTTATTCAATAAAATATTAAAGTATAATGAAAAAAAATATATATATATATTAATATAAAAATAATAATATATAATATTAATATCGCTAATAATTAAATTGAAATCGGATAATAATAATAACAATTGACCGCACGGCACTCACACGAATGGTAAATAAATAATCTGATGTGAGGAAATTATCGGTAGATTAGAATATCAATATTTTAATCCGTGACTGTCACGTCTTTTCAGTTATCAGTATGCACTAAACATCTATGCGCAACATAAAGTAATTTTAATACAATTAATACGATCATACGTTTAATTTAGTTGAATTTCATTAATTTATTTTCATTTAATTGTTGAGTTGGTATTGAACCAAACCAAAAAAAAATCTAAATGAGGAGCGAATAAACTTTGACTTAAAAGAAATGCTGAGTTGAAGGCATCAGTTAACGACCTGAAACAAAAAATGTTTATTGGACATTTTTCGAATGCTGTTAGAGCTATTTTTTTATGTTTAAAGGCCACTTTCCAAAATTTTCCCACTGGCCCGGTGCCTACCCAGTCCGCCCCTGATTGCTTCCATCCACCTCACTGTGTAAATTGTGCTGCGAACCATACATCTTTTTTATGTACTTAAACTTAGGAAAAACCTCTAAAACTCTCTATGGAGGAAACCATCCTGCAAACTACCGTTGATGCTCTGTCCACAAAGACCTTGAAAAAATCCATAATGATTCTAAAAACATATTAAAAAAGAATGTAAGCCAAAACATTTATGTAAACGAGGGAAAAAGTTTATTTGATAAAACATCTTCAGATCCATCGAATTTTAATCCCAATGATAATAAAACATTCCCAAATCTTTCTCACACGCATTTTCAGAACCATTCTCCAAACACAAATTCAAATCAAAATTCACACACACATAATCAAGCTTGGATTAAGGGGGGGCAGAGGGAGCCATGGCCCCGGGCCCACAACGGATATCAAACAATAGTGGGCTCCTGGCGGATAGTAGGTTTTTTCGTTTTTTTTTAACTTTTTTTTTAGCTCTGCTATGTATATACTATTTTTGTACGAAATTCTCATATTTACTTGTTGTTTTTAAGTTCCATGTAAACTTATGATAGTAAATTAATGATTGATAATTATTAATAAATTAGTAAAAAGTAATTTAATTTATGATATACCTACTGATCTATTTATATAAAATATTAGGTGGTATTAGACAATGATGGATTGCCATATTGAGTACCTAATAAATACATTTGCCGTGGTCTACTTTTTATTGTAAAATCATATTATTTGATTAAAAACAAAAGGTTATTGTTTTATGTAGCCTATGTCGATAAATATTAAGACATCTGGTTAAGTTGTTAAATAATTAAATCAGGTTACCTATGAAAAAGATATACTAATAGAATAATAACATTAATGATTATATAAAAGTGGAAATTTTTATTGCCTAAAAAATAAACAATAGAACATAAATGTAATAATATCTTTTAAATGACAATATTTAACATAAATGAACAAAGGAATGGAAAACGCTCACATAACATAAAATTAATTTAATTACAGACTCATTAACTCCTTCACACAAAATAAAATAAGGAACAAATGCCTATGAATACACTGGTATTTCAAGTATTAGTTTTGACCTAGGTAAAAAGTAGGTAAAAGAATAGGTAACTTATATAACTTTTCATCCGTTATGTGGTTAAAATATATAAATGTAATAGCTTATAATTCAGTGGTAAGAGGGGTTTCATATTTAAGAATTATGTCTATCTTTAAGGTTTCATTATTCGAGAAAAAAATTATAGAATTTGAAACAATATAAAATGCAGTCTAAATATGAATAGCTATTATTCAAAATAGATGTACTAAGTTAGTAACAGTACTCAAAATGTAATTAAATATATATATATGTAATTATAATTTTTCAAACAATGAAACCTAATGAAAGTAATAATAAATACCCTAGAATTTTTTTTTTTTTTTACAGTACATTCATTTTAATTTATGTAATAAATAACAATGCATTTTCAGTACTATACATAATGGTCTAGTCTTGAATGTTGACATTAATTGATAATTTTGTGATATAATACTAAAAATTGGGAAAAATATGCAGACTATATTTGATAAATTACATCAAACTAAAATCTGCAACTGGTAATGGGATAAATAATTAGAAACTTTTAATTAAAATGCATGTGGTAATTATTATTTAAGTACAGTAACGGAACACTAAAAAACCTTAAGAAATGTATTATCAGAAGAAAAAAAGTTAGCAGTAATTCACAAGTACTTTTTATAGAATTTTCAACTGTCACTCTTGTTCATTTATTTTATGTTATTATAGTTTAGATGCTTACCATTAAAACTATGATAAGTAATAATTTAACAGTCAAAGTTCAACAAAAGTGTATTTGTATACAGTATTATAAATATAATGTATTAATACTTTTTATGACCTTGTATACTAAATATTTATTGTATTATACATAATGAAGCAAATATTCCAAAAATAGATAACAAAATTAAAGTTACACTAATAAAAAATGTACATAACAAAGTATATTCATATAGGTACTTTAGTTATACTAATTTTGTAATACTCAACTATGGTATAACAATAACAATTCATTTGGGTAAATAAAAAAAATAATATTTCATAACTTAAAAAATATAATCATATTCATACTTATAAAATAAATTAGTAATTATATATTAACTTTCAATCATCGTCCTAAAATATTTTACCTTCCTTATCTATTTAATTTGGCTTTTTACTAAGTATATTTCTTAATATGCTAATATCATAAACTTTACTTGTAAAGTCTTAATAACAATACAATTAGGATTCCAATAAGAAAAATCAATCAGTCATTGTTATTAAATTTTACTAATAAGTAAAAATGAGAGTACATAATTATAATATATTTATATATATTATATTTAAATAATCATTATTATCGTTTCTGTACATTAAGTCGGATCAAATAAAATTTACAAATAATAAATTAATTCAATATTAATTAAATACAAATTAGAAATAATTCATATTATTTATCCTTTGATCTACATCAAAACGTTGTCTTTGTCTAGGATCTGCAGGAACCTGCATTTGTTTCCTGCGTGGATCATTTGGAACAATTGGAACCGTCATCATTTGTGGACACATTATTGGAGGAGGCATATGTCTCATATCACTATCCATAGGCCGTTGTACAATGGTGTTAGGTGTTGGTAGAAGTGGAGCACGAATAGATGATGCATTAGTGTTAACCACTTCTTGGTGAAGTTTTCTAGGATCTCGAGTAGAACTTTTTGGAGGTACTGCTGGTCTTACTGCTGAATTGACTGTTGCAGGAACGTTTTGAATAAACATTGGATCTCTTGCTGCTGTTATACTACGTCTAAGACGAGGATCATCAATGCCCATCTATTTAAAATGTACAATTTTAGTTAATTATCTTAAATTAAAATGAAAAATTTATTTTTACTGTAGGTGGAATTTTAGAGTAGTCAGGTACTGATACTTGGGTTGGTGTCATTTGGTATTTCATAGGAGGATGACTATCAAGAGACGCATTTATCTCTGTAGCTGCCGCAACAGGAAATTGGAATGGTAATTGTCTTAAATCCACATCAGATTTACCCAATTCAACTGCATTACTATCATTATTAATAGGGCTAGCAGGAGATTCTTCTATAATATTTTTACTGTAATAATAATTATAAATTATAATATTTGTATTAATAACAAAACCAAAAATTCAGATCGAAGCAACTTCAAAATATAGTCACAAACAAATATATAAAAATTGCATTTGAAAATAAAAAAAATATACCTTATAATATTTATATTTTACATATTGCAAACTATTATTGCAGTAGCAATTTAACAATACATAATTATTTTATGGTAAATAAAAAAATGCCTTCTTATTTTAGTTTGAATATACATATATAATAATTAAATATGAACAAATAATACAAAACCTACTTTTCTTTCTGAACTAAATCAAACTGTTGCTCTACTGGCGGTAAATGAAATGGTGAAGGTTGATCTCCTTTGATTGATTTATCATTTCCAATTTGTGCTTTTATACTATTAAGAAGTTTTGCCATATCATCACTTATAGTAATTTGGTCATAATCAACCTATAAAAATTAAAAATATATTATTATATATAAACTATTTTAAATATATTGATTCTTTATTTTTATTAAACATTTTCTCCGTATATTTATTGTTTGCTTTAGAATATCGAAAACTGCATTGTGTCATTTCTTCTCTTAATACTTTTTCTATGAAAAAATGCATGTTAATTATTCTAATTTTACTTTTGTTTTTCTAAACATTCACTTCCATTAAAGTATTTAATATAAAAACAAAACTAATAGGAGTGTGATTTAGAAAATTATTATAGACAAAGCTTTATAGAAAGGTTGACAACTCTGTATTTTTTTCATGCATACATTCAAAATCTGCATAAACTGCAACAGGTACTTTTATTGAATAATTATAATTATTAAATAGTAAAATATTATTGTAAGGTTCTGTCATTACTACTTTGGTACACTTGTTATTAATACAATAATTTTTATGTTCATTTAATTCATCTTTGGTTACAAAATTAATTAAACACATTTTACTTAAAATTTTTTATGTCCATCTGATGAAATTTGATATCCTACTAGTTTTCATAAATTTTTAATTCAACAATGATGATAATTATCTATGTATATAAGATACAACGAATTAATAGGTTTCTTGGAAAACGTCCATCAAAATCATTAATAGAGTATACATTTATAGAAATGTTTAATCTTTCTTATATTTTATGAATACCTGTTAATTTTATTGGAAACAATATCTTTGAACTCTTTATCAAACATATTTTCCTATTTTTTATACTTTAAAACTCTCTATCTATCTTTTTCAACAGGATATAATACAGAAATTATTGACCAAAGACAACATTTATCTTAATTTTTCACATTAATAATAGATTTATTATTTTTTACCCTTGGTAGAAGATTGAATATGAAGCACCTCTATAGGTATATATTTATTAATACTTAATTGCAAATCAATAGTTTTATTAGGACTATCCTGATACTTTTACTTCAAATGAATGTATTTCATTAAAAATTATGTTTTTTGCTCCTAAATAGTATTGATTTAGATCAGTAGTATTTAATATTATTTAGTTTTTTTGTCTAGATTAGTGTCATTATAATCTTTTTTTTCTGCATATATTTTAGTGATAAATTTAATTTTAAACCATTTTGTTTACTTTAACTTTCATGAATTTTACCAAAAACTATTCTTTCTACATGGTTCATAAATCAAATTGTATCTTTAAAACCGAGTTTATTTTTAATTATGGTTGTTTTAATTTTACTTGCAAAATCCGTTTCTTTATTGAAAACAATAGTACAAATATTTTTATTTTTCATAAAAAATTGTTTACTTCACCTATGAAAAACTCAATGGTCTTAAGGTATTCTTAATACTTAAGGTTTTCTTATTTTATCAATTGTTTTCTTACAAATTGGCTTAACCAATTTTTGAAAGTTATTGTTCATATACAAACTTTACAAAGTTTAGGTTCATATTTAGTAACCAACAAATTTCTTTTATAATTACTTTTCATTTATTATATATTTACTTTAACTTAATCAATTTTCATTGATTTTTTATTTCTGAACTATTTTTGCCCAGTTTAGTTATATGCAGTCTACAAAATATTTAAATAAGGTTAAAGGCTCATTCAACAAGGCTAAAGAAATATATGTTGAACCCAGACTTTATTTTTTAATTATTTTTAAATTAAAATCAGCTGAAATTACTAGATGATTTATTCCTTATATTGAATTAAAAAAGTTGGAGGTCTTGGAAGCCCCAAACTTCAGTTTATTTTAAATTAAGAATTATTAGATTCTCCTTTATTTTCATACGAAAACCTGAAACTCAGATGTGAGTTGTACAAAATAAAAATAAAATATAACTTTAATAGAAAATAATAAAAAATAATAGAAAAAATTGCAAAAAGTTTTTACCCAATCTTATAGTGTTTCGTGGTAGCCCCCATTCTTTATTTTTATTTTTATTTATTTTTTTATTTTACAGAGAATTCCTACATATCTCTATCTCAAAAAGAGATTTATCAAAGAATTCAGTTATTCATATAGATTAATATGTATAACATTTGAAGGTTAGAATTATCATAAAACTTCTTACTATTCAGTGAAAATTAATGTTTTCATGATTAATTAAATTATTTGAATAATTATTTATAAAATAATATAATCTTAGTCAATTATTAAACGTACATTTTGAAAAGTTAAAAAATTCTAATGTTATTCAACAAAAATATATAAACAAGATATCATTACAAAATTACCTTTTCAGCTTTTGATGAATTTCCAATTGATTGTTCTTTTTCTTCATTATGTAATGCATTTAGTACATTATTCATAGGAGTAGAAATAGAATGATCAGAAATATCACTAGAATATTGATCCTCTTGGCTATAAGGATCTTCATTCATTTCTGTGGTTTCATTGTACTATAAATAATCATAAACAAAGTTTTTTTTATTAAAATTTAATAGTCCCCTTAATATGTATTAAAAGTTAAATGTAATTGTGTTCATTTAATTAAATAAATAGTGAAACATCTATTCTATTTACTAACAAAATTTAGATAAGTTTAATTATAGACAATTCAGGCAAATAAAATAAGGATAAGGTATTGACTTGCATCATATTTTTAAGAATTTTAAACATTTATAAAAAACAAAATACAAAAGTAATATTAAAATAAAAATATATGTAAAAAAAAAAAAAATTTCAAGAGAATCTATCTAACGGATTCCCTCTCCTGCTGTAAATAACCCACTGAATATTGTGTAGTATTTAGTTCATAATCAAATTTATCTACCATCCTAGATAAATAGATATTTTTTATCATCATTAAAAATATTATCATTACTATATATATAAAAGAAAAATTTGTTTAACAATATAATAATTAACTTACAAATTTTTGGTGAACTTGAATTCGTTTCAATAACTCTTTTTGTTTTTTTGGTAGCTGTTGGTCTTTTCCGTCATTTTGGAATTTTTCTTCATCAATAACAAGATCTAAAATTATAATTTAAAAAATGATTTATTAAATACTATATTACAACTAAAAATTATCAAAAATATGTTATATAGTGGTTCAGTATTTAGTTTATTATACTTAATTTCTATCATATAAAAACTAAAATCAAAGACAAATCTATAATTTAAAAGTAAAAATGTCTCATATCCGCTAATATTGATTTAGTCTCTAATAGTAAGATAAAATTAAATGTTTAAAATTTATGAAAAAAAGTACTTCCTTGGTTATGAAAATAACCAAAGTTAATTTTTTGGAAATTATTTGCGATGAGCCAATAATTAATTATGTTATTAGTTTTATTTATTTATAAATGTTATAATAAGTGTTACAATTAATATATTTATATAACTAAATGCTGATATTCAATATTAACCTTTACATTAAGTATATACTCATTTATAATAACAACTTTAGCCTTTAATTATTAATAAACAAATTGTATAAAGTCTAACATAAAAATAAATTGTTCTGCTAAATGTTTATATATATATATAAAAAAATATTATTTTGACTTGCCATTAAATTCATCATCATCGCTCAAATCATCTAATAATGGCTGATCATTATTATGCAGGGTCAAGTCTTCTTTTCTTTGTCTGCTTTTTTCCATTCTTTTTTCTTCATGTCTTTCTTCTCGCTGTTTTTTTCTAATTTCCTTTTCATGTTTTTGTTTTACCCTATTGTTTTTATTCTTATCATGGTGTTTCTTAACTTTATGCACTGGACGATTATTTAGAACATTAGATAGTTGTTCAGTTTCATTAATTTCACTGAAATTAATAAAATTAATATTATTATTACAAATTTATTTATAAAACTGAAAAAAAAAAATTATAAATATTTTTTTAAATTTATTATAAAATGTTTTTGTATTTAAACATTACAGCAATGCGATTAGATTAAACATACTTAAAAAAAATTTAAGCAACTTAACTATTATGCAATAAATATAAATTCAAATGAGAAAGTCAGAGGAATTGATGAAATTGATAATGGAATGAATGATAGGAATGGAGTAAGAGTTGAGGAGAAGATTAAAGTCAGGAGTGATATAACCAAAAGAAGATAAGAATGAAAAAATAAATTATTTGTTAAAGAAGAACAAGAAGAAGGGAAGTAAGTTAACAATTTAGTTGAAATCATAGATTGAATCCTTGCGACATCTAGTACAGGGTGAGGAAGAATTGAGAGACAGCTTGAAAAAGTAGTAAAAAAGGAGGGTATGCCCACTATGGATACTTTGTGTGGTAGAGATGACCAATTTTATTTCCAAGTGTTGTGGAGAAGCTCCATTGTAGGATAGGAAGATCGGAAGCAGAAATTTTAGAAATGGAAAGATGTATAATGTATTTAGTGGAATAAGCAAGATGGTCAGCTTGCAAAAATTATGTTTGTACCAAAACATTTATTCTCAAAATAAATATTGAATTAATTTTAAATAAATCAAAAATGATAAAAAATGAATTGTATAAGTTCTAATTCCAACTAATTTTTATTGAACTGAATAATTTAAAATAAAATATATGTCTATGTAACTTATATTTATTTATTATCAAATTTATTTTTTATCAAAATGACCGTTAGTATCTTTATCAGTTTTTTTTTCGCTTGGAAGGAGTAAAATGTAGTGCAGAACTTGTACCCCTTTCTCTAAGGGAATTTTCACATGTATAGACTTTACCTCAATGAAGGGAGTCTGGTGAGGGGTAGTATAGGCAAATAGAACAATGGCATAGGAGAGAGACTACAGAAAATTCTGCAGAATTAATTTTTGCACTGAGCCGGGTTCGAACTGGTGACTGTGCACGTAGTAGCCAACTGTATGACCACTGCACCATACTGTCCTTTATATTTATTTTATAAAAAAAATATACAATTTTTAAGATTTAAAAATCATTTTTGGAAAAAAAGTATGGTAGAAATTTATTCTTTAATACTATTTAAAAAATGACTTTTAAATAATTTTGATTTATACATACAATGTGTCATCGGTCGTAGACTCATCTCGTGATGGCGACGGCATTGGTGTACTACTATTATTATTATGACTATTAGACTCTAAAAAAATGTATAGAATTTAGATATAATTTATATTTAACAAATAAATAATTAAAAATTACCTGGATCTTCATCTCCATTTTTATCAGTTGATTTTAATTCAGGTGGAACAGGAATTTGCATTTCTAATAATGATGGAATTTTGTTCTTATCATTTTTGGAAACAAAATTATTTTCTGTAGCAGATTTTGAATCTTCTTCGAAATTGCTCTGAAAATTTTAAAAATTGAAAATCAACCATAGGATAATTAACATCAATTAACATATTTATTATACATAGTTCAATCAATATACATATATAAATACCTTGAAGTCTTGATTTTCATTCTCATATTCTGGTGGATCATAACGTAGTTTCCCAAAAGACTAAAATTAAAGGCTCATATCAGGAGATATAACTAATATATTTAAAATTCTTTATTTAAAGTGATAACATATAATTAAATAAATAACTTTAATACTAAGAAAAAATAAAAAGTATAATCTAAATTACAAAATCATTATAACGAATAGTATTTATAAATTTTACCTTGAGCAATATTTTTTTTTGATCTTCATCAAGCTTAGCATGGCTAAATCGACAATTTGGTCCTGAATAGCATTTCATACCAGTATGATAATACTTGCAAGGAAACTCGCTATGCATAAATGTACATCGATCATCTTTACTACAACAATCCATTAAATAAAATTTACACAATTCCATTTTGCGACCATTAGGTTGTTGATGAGAATAAGTACAATTATTTTCCTAAAAAAATTTAATTTAAATTTAACATATATTGAAACTTATTAATTATTTACATGTTTTACCTTAAGACATTTTCCTTGGAGAAAATATTGACAAATTTTTTCTTCATCTTCTGGTCGTTTATTTTTCATTAAAGACCCAACACCCATTCGTCGTTTTGCAGACATACCTCTATTCCTCCTATCCATATCTCCACCACCGCCTCGCCTTCCTCTACCTCTTCTATTAAAGTTATTTTCTCTTGGAGGCCGAAAATCTTCTCCTTCATTTTCTATTCAAATCAATACATCATAAACAATCAAATACAACATACATGAAAATAGAAATATTAGTAAGAAATGTTCATCAAAATTTCATCTTTTGACTTTAACTAATATAAATATGATATAACAATGAGTTTAAATGTGATAACATATAACATAAACAATAAAAATAGTTATCTAAGTAGAAACAAGAGCTGAGGGGGTTACTGTAAACATATTAAACATGATTTATGTACCAAATTCTCGTGGAAATGACTCAAAATTCGATACATCAGGAATGAATTCTTCATCATTAACACCCTCAACCGATTCCATTGGGGTCTCATTTTTTCTTCTATTAAACATCCCCTATAAAATAAAATAAAATTCAATACAAACTTAATTATTAAATATAATGACTTACATTTTGATTATTTCTCAACAAAGTATCTTTTTCTTCAATTTGATCAAACCTACGCCTTTTACGTCTAGGTCTATCATCATCCATAAGATAACCAACATCTCTTTTCATCATACTTCCTTTATTTCTAGCAAATCTATCCCCTCTGGACCTACTGTTATTAAATCCTGCAAACGGTTTACTTGAAGGACCATGTAACATTTTTTGATGAGATGGTTGAGGACGTTGTTCCTAGAAAAAAAAGAATTTATAATAATGACCCTAATATAATTAAAAATCAATGTTATATACCATTTCCCACTGAAGTTCAAAATCTTTTTCTTTAGCCCCTTCTCCAAGACAAATTTCTTTAGATGCTTTCGGTTCTTTATTTTGTTCAGTTGATTCAACCATTCCAGTATCATCTTCTTCATCAAATATCTCTCCATCTTCAAGGTCCTCTTCAACCTCGTTTTCACAACTATTACCATTGCTAAAACAATTTAAAACTATTTAACTTTTCAAAAATAATTAAAATATATTTTATTTATATAATTTTCAAACAGTATCAGGAACAAATGGCAACAAATATTTAACAGTATTTTATAATTTGAAATGCAATATCAAGTATATATTTGTAAATTGATCTATACAAACAACAACATTTAATGTTTATTGAACTGTTAATATAAATATGTATATAGACTGAGTTATACATTTTATTTAAAGTTAACAAAAAAAAAAAAAATTAAATTTTTGAATTAGTATTACAGTTAAAAGTATTAATTTATATAAGATTGAATAAAAGTATTATAAATTGTGTACAATATTTTTAAAAATGTTATAACATTTTCTGATATGTATTAAAGTATTCATTTTTTTTAAGTATTAACTTCTGATTATAGATGAAGTATTTTTGATAATAAATCAAATATTAAATACTTAAAAATAGTTCAATCTATTATAGTTTTAAACTATCATCAAATTCCTTCTGCCCCAGAAATATTTTTAAATGATAGATAAGAGTTAGAATATATTGGTTAACTATACGCTTTAATTAATATTTTATTTTTTTATACAATTATTGTACATAACATTCTATAAAATAAGTTTTTGTAATGTGTTTATTATATACATTCAGTGTCTTTATAAATCTATTACCCATTGACTCTAGTAATTAATAAATACATTAGCTTTAACAGAAATTTTTTTTTATAATTTTAATCATCTACTTTAACATGCCGAATGGTTGATTCAATATGAGACCTATTACAACTAATATTAAGTTATATGTTTAAATTATTATTTCATTAAAATAATAATTAAATCTTCAAATTATCCTTGATAGTTTTAAAATCAAAATTCTCGATAGTAAATTCTATATTTATACTTTGCAATTAATGAAATCATATTTTTAACACAATTATCCAGATATTTATACAAATACTAAATAAGCATTAAATATTCTGATTGATGGTTGGACTAATGCATATATCTACTGACCTTTCAAAACGTGTTAATAAAATAAAGGTTATATAAAATATATAATAAAATAAAGTAGGTAGATTAAGTCTATTTACCAGTGATTAATAATAAATATAGATATAATTATCTTGCGTTATTATAACAGCACATATTACGTCTACATAAGCTAATATTTTTATAATTGAATGGGTTATTTTTAATATTTTTTTTTAAAAAAAAAAAACAACTAGGTTTTCGTACTTCTTCACGTAGATTTACCTACAGATTTTTTTTTTAATTTTTATATTTTTATGAAATCGATAATAATGCATTCATAGTATTCAGCTAAAAGTTCAATAAATCAAATTATATTAAGATAAATATTTATGTTGTTTGATTTTAATTTTTAAATAGAGGTATATACTTTTAATAATTATTTAAGGCATATAAAAAATAATATGGGAGCCTACAAAAACATATTTTTATTCAAATGTACGTGAATAATAAGATAATAATAATAATAAGAAAATTATAATAATAAGAAAAAATATTATTTATACATTGTATTTATAGAGGGCAATCATTGATTCATTATCGTATGTGTATATATAATTATGTATTATATGGTATATACCTAAACTAACATTTTATTTTAAAACAATTATATTATAGTTAAAACATAATTGTTAATGTTTTAAATTTTAACGTATTAATTATTGCATTAAGTTAATAAAGCGATCGGCTCTAATTCTATGAATCAAGATAGATACCTACTGCATAATACTTCAAATCTTAATTTTAATGGCTGACAAAGGTCTTAAAAATGGCAACAACGCACTAAATTATGTGCACTAAATAATCTAACGAATCAACTTTAAAATTACAAAAATTGCAACGCATTTTTAATACACCTTACACTTTGACCAGAAATTAAAATTGTTCGACGTAGTAAAGATTAAGATTTATTAATTAAGGCGTACAAAGGGAAAATCGAGTAATAATAACACTCTATTGAAAATATACTTTATAAAGACCGAAATTGAATTGTGATTTACGTAAAACTTACAATTAAAAAATATAATACGGTTCAGATAGTAAAAACAAATACTACGTCGAAATACAATATTTAATGTGGAATTTAGAGAACTGAACAAGTGAATTGTGTACAATTAAATTACGAGTAGAACTAATTAAAATTATAAAGTTATGTACTTTCAAATGTAAACGAGAAACCAACGCCTTAATGTAGGACACAATGAGTCACATTAACCGTAGTCATGCATTGATTTGTGATTAATATATAAAATAATAATATTTTCGATCGGGTTTTATATAAGTCTAAAATGGCAAAACACTTAATAGTTTTGACAACTCAACAGTGATTTAATTGTTAACAGCTACATTAAAATTAGACTTTCGACAGAAAGCAAATTATTTTATAAAATATATATGTATAATATGTTTACAGAAATCATGTAATTTGTTTAGTTTAATAAATTTAATTTTCAAATAATTGATTTATTATAATCGTATTATTATTACTATTATCATACTGATACCTTAAAACACTTTGTAGGTCTAATACCATGGTGTATGGGTGTGTATGTATGTGTGTGGGTACAAGTACAATTATCGTGATTGAACAATAAAATAGGGATATCTTGGTGCAATATAGGAAGGCAGTGATTATAATATTCGCAATGGTCCGTAAAAATTACGAAAAGCAAACATGAGAAAAAAATAATGATAATGATGATGATATGAAAATGGGGAAACCGGCTGTGGAAAATAATTAAAATAATATAACAATCGACTGCACGGACAGCGACACACCGACACCGTGCGATTATTCTTCACACAAATGGGGGCAGTCGCCAGTATGCAGAAACGGACTAGACGAAAAATTATGATAAATACAATTGCAAGCAGTATTGCGACGATTCGATGGATTCAACACGATGTGAGAGAGCGGCAGGACATCAGAGGGGGTATTCAGGATGAGGAAGGGGAGTGTGTGTGTGAGAGAGAGAGAGAGAGAAAGAGAATGAAAGAGAGAGATAAAAAGAAAGAGAGAGAGAGCGAGCGAGACATTTAGCGTGGAAAGGTGAATCACGTAATTGGAAATAAAGCGGAAGAGAGAAACAGCTCACCAAGATGAAATAAGAGCGGAGGGTGGAGGAGGCAAGTAGCACACCATAAAATACGTATATCGCGAATTTAACACACACCACACACACATATATATATATATATATATGTATAATATATATGAAATCGTATGTACGAGAAAAATAGAAAAACAAGATGGCGGCGTCCAATCGATGCGCATACCGACGGACGGAAAAACTACAGATATGTTATCGATTTTAGTCTATTTACCTTCGGCCGTTTTAAAAGCGTGATTACAATTTTCCGATTTTCGTTGCATTATCGAAAATAAGAATCCTTGGCAAATTACACTTACACGTATAAATATCCAAAACCCAAAACACATTGTTCCTGATACTGCAGATAATGGTTAAACATGATAACCGAGTACGAAGCTCATTAGTATGAATATTATAAATATAAATAATATATATATTATATAATTATATGTATAAACTCATAGCCCCTAGTATAAGGGCGCGTCTCATTGAAAATTTCCTTGGATTACTGCACCTTTCAATCGGCTGGTCTATATTGGTGACAAGGGCCATTTTATTTGAGGCTGTGTTTCGTCGCTTTCTTTGAGGACAGATTACCCAAAGTACGTCATTCAATCGGATCAATAAAAAAACATTTGTAAACGTAATTACGAAAATTTAACACTTGTTACACTTAAATAGTTAAATAATAATTATATTTATATTTATGATTGGACTTATGGATATGATTATTACTATTATTATTATATTGTTTCTACTACTTATTATTAGTACTGTTTACTATTTAAATGCAGGCATCTTGAATATTCGACAATACATTCGATGCACAAACATTGGGCAGAGTTCCGACTTTTACGCGGCTTCACTTAAAATGTCGGTCGGTCGGTCGGTCGGTCCGTCCTTGGTAGCCGCGGAATGTTTAACACGACGCATACAACGGCGGCGGCTGACGAGTAATTTTTGTCCCGTTCGGCTGGTGGGGGAAACGCGCAGTGACGTGTGCGCGAACGCACGCATCGGACAGCGGCCGTCTGCCTAGGTCGGATATCATCCCCCCATCATCCCCGCCTTGTTGATTCCGGAATGATAGAAGGAGGACGTGGTTGAGGGGATCGTCGGCTGTTGTTACTCGCGCACGTTCTAACATTCTACACCTTTATGGGTCTAACTTCGTGCGACGTTGCCGCTGTTCACTTTACAAATAGTTAGGCGCGATAACAGATAGCGCCACAGTACTTTACTCGTTCACGTGTCGTCAATGTTTGCAGTGTGTCCGACCGCCCATTGTGTAACCACCAAGGGTACGCATGAATTCCACTATCGCCACTACACCCGACTCCAGTAACACGAAGATGAACTGGACCAACGACCGTATTACTACCTACATACCAACCACCCTATACATAACCCGAATAGAAAATATCATCCTATCTACGTTATGAATCGCAGATTTTATAATCCATTTCGTATATCCCCTTCTACAACAGCTCGACGATTCGTATCGTATCGATTATTACAGTGGTTTGCCGACAATATTTTATTGAACTGCTACGGAATGTTTGGTTATAAAAGTCCCGTACAACGTCTGGGACCATGACATTAGTCATAATCAGTGTTGTGCTTAGATAAAAAAAAATTATCTAGATATAGACAGATTCTGTAGAAATTGAATTTATCTAAATATAAATAGATTAATTAATTTTTATCTAGATATTTATACACGGTTTTACCTCAAAATTTTAATGTATAATAATAATTGAAAATTTAAATAAATTTGTATTTTTATTACAATATTCACACAGTTACACAATATTTTAAGAATGCTAAATTTTATAATATAAGTTTAAAATGAGTAACAAAATGCTTTCCTTTGCAAATATATTAACTTCCTGTTGAAAAGCTAAAATTTAAAAAAAAAAAATCATAAGAAAATATATCTAGGTACTAATAACATTATATATTTATATAAATATAAAAACAGTATACAAACATATTATTATATTGAACAAAATTAATGATATTGTATAGTACTTATACTAGTCGTATTGTAATATTGCTATTTTCAATTATTTCTATATGTTAGTATCTATAAACCATCTACCAGCTGCAATAATAACCAGTTTAGACCTATGGTACGTATGGACTAATTATTAGCTACGGATTTTGTGAATTATCTAGATAAATTTATCTAGATGACTATGATTTTTATCTAGATGAAAGTTAAATATTATTTAATAATTTAATAACTTAATATTTTTTTTTCTAGATAAGATAAAGATATAAAGTTTTTATCTAGATAACATATCTAGATAAATTTATCTAAAACACAACACTGGTCATTATCCATTGATTTTTTTTAATTCGACGCCTCAGTCGTTACGACTCACGAGTCATATGTGTGTTGTGGTTCGACGTTATGGTCTAGTTTACACTTATAAACTTTTAGTACACTAATAGTACACTTATCAATATAACCACGTACGAGTACCACAAATTCATACCACGGATTCTACTTTGATAATATAAACACACCCCACGTACGTATGACCAACGGTAATCGGTCAAAATATCCAAACCAAAATATTCAAATTTATTAGTTTTTCCAAAAATTAGTATCATATTATTTAATTGACTTGTTAGTAGCAATAATACCACGGTTATTATCGATTATGACCGTTATGGGTATTGTTAAATTGAGATATCATTCCGTTTTGACTTCTGGTTTTTACTGTTGGGTTTTATAAATTGCCTAGTAGCAGTAAATTGAACGAATATTTAAACGGTAATAAGTCGCAAACGGATTACTGAAATTAAATTCTATAAACGTTAAAATAATTTTTTTCAGTATGTTTATAAATTTTTGCTATCTAAAATAAGTATTCACGGAAAAAACAAAACAGTTCAACCCACTATTAAAATAGTAGATTTAACAGTATTTTATAATTGCTATAGGGATAGCTATAATATTAGTGAGATTCACTATAATGTTTTAGTTAAATTATTATAGTCATTGTTACTAGAAAATAAAGTAATTTTTACTAAAATTTTATAGTTCACTGTATATTTTTATTTGGTTGTCCAAACAGTATTTATAGTAGTACACACTACAATTTCTAATAGTTAGAACTGGAAGGTTTAGTTCATAGCAGAAATTTAATTTACTATAATAAACAGTTTATTGAGCTATAACTCGTAATAACCACTACTATAAAATTAAGTATTCGTAACCAAATTTTATACTTAATTATTTTATAATTTAGCAGTACCTGCTGTCATATATAGTATATTTTACTATAAAATTACAATATTATATTCATTCAAATTGTACCTAATATAGTTGCTATTTTTTTGACTAGTACATGATATTACCTATACAATTTAAAAGAACGTTGTTAAATATAGTAACCAAATATAATTTCGTTTTTGTAAGTACAATATTTATTTATTTATTGTGTAACAAATTTACTGGTTATTTGGTGACTAATTAAAATAACAACATATCAAAGTTTTTGTATAAGTTATTATTCCAAAAAACAAATAACAATAGGACATATCATAGATTAAATATACAATATACGAGTATTATATATACTTTATATAAACTACATATATACTTTTTTTCAAATGAGAATTCACTGTGGGTGCCAGACACAAATCTGGTCGAGCCCGTGCATGTCATATAACAAATTTAATAATAATTAATTGTAAGTGGTGGAGTATTTACTTGTAATTGTTCCAAGTTTCATCTTGGTGCATGCCATGTGCGACGTGGTACATTTTCATTAAACAAATAGTATAGATTTTTTTACAATAAATAATATAAAAAAAAATGTACAAAATTAATATTTAATATAATTAGGACAGCTTTTTAATAATATTGTTTTTAAATATCATACTAGTTATTACATTGTGTAGTCTTAGCGACAAAAATATAAGTAACCTAAATATAATATAGGTAGTACAATAATAAAACAATTTGGTTATTTACATTTTTATCAATATATTTCTATCATTAATGCTTTTATGGTAAACAGGAAAACTGTTTTCTATGTCTTTAAGTTTTATAAAATTTAACTTGTTGGTCAATATTATGCTCCAAAATGTTCATCATAAAAAATGGTTTTATATAAAACATATATAATAAATGGTTCATTTTTTACAATGAAAATACTTTTAATAAATCTAAATAATGGTAACATATCGTTGTTTTCATCACATACCTTTATAATAACGGACATACTCATAGAGTTATATAAAAGCCCATTAATTTTTACCCATGAAACAAAAAATGTAACGTCGCGGTTATTTAAATCATAATGACCTGAATACTCATTATATGAGTCAATGTCCAATTGACTTAATTTAATTGCAGGTTCTATTTCTATTGGAATTGTATAGTAATCAATTTTGGGGGATAACAATCTGTATGAAAGTCTTAATTGTTGTTTTAGGGACAATCCTTTTACAATATTTTTTCTAGAAGTTGTCGAATTAGCAGTTGTTTTTAGTTCTTTATGTTTACCTTCAAAACGCATTGACCAATGTAATGGTAATGGTCCAGATTTTCGTAGTATTACTGGATAATGGACCATATGGTGATGCTTTGGCTTTAAATTTTTATTACGAAATATTTTTAGGTACGTTTCATGGTGTTCTGTGATTAAATTTTCAAGTATAAATGAATTTTCAAATGTAATACACTTCGATAATATTATATTTAAAATCTTATCGAGAATAATGTGTATTGTCCAAATTTCAGAATTTCTAGGAACCAAATCACCTATCATTAGTCCTAAATTTTTAACAAAACAAAGCATTTCACTTGCTGACATTTTTAGTATTGCTTTAACTTTTAAACTTTCACTAGAAATCATAGTTGGTCTATTTCGAATATCAATTGGGCCATAGTCAAATAATTCGATTCTATTATTTAATGTATTCAATGAAAAGTATTTCAAATCAAAAATCATTCTTTTTAACATCAAACCAATA